TGTCTGGTTCTCCACTTTAGCATCTTGCCCTCCTTCCTCTTCCTCTACGGCCACCAGCTCAGCATCAAAGGTAGAAGGGAAGATGGAGTGTCCCTCTGCGTCGCGCTCCCACCTCAGCTTGATCAGAGGTTGGAAGTCAGCAGAAAGACTTTCACCATCCTCCTCCACCCCTTCTTCTTGCTCGCCGAAGGTGACCGTCGTGACATCCACTTCGGGATATTGAGCCTTCACCTTCTTTCTACAGTCGGTGAAAGCCAAAATTGCGGTCGGCAGCCGGTAGAGGTTGATGATGTTCTCGAAGGTGCTGGATTTGAGGAAGTTGCCAATGTGCTCCTCCATTCCGTTGTGAATCAGCAGATTCACGTTCTTCCTCAGCTCCGCCACTCCTTTCTTCATGTTCTCAATGTATTTGTCTTGAGCCTCGAGCTTGTCTTCATAGATCTTCCTCTTACGTTCTTTGAAGACAAGTCTCATGCTCAAGGTATCATTATCGTTCTGGAGTTCGGTTACTGATGGCAAAGCTTCATCCAGTTTCCTCTGCATATCCTAGTTCTTCTTCTGCAGCTCCTCCTTTTCCTTCTGCAGCTCCTTTTTCTCCTTTAGCGGCTCCTCACACTGCCTATGCAAGCTGGCACAATCTCTGCAAGCTAGCACTATCTCTCATGCTCTCCGCATACTCCTGCGCTAGAGTGTTTACCTAGCTTGCACTCTACAATGCAAGCAGAAGTCCGAACTCAAACCCAGAAGTCAAAAAAATCAAAAATAAAACATCAATAAGCTATGATTTCTTTACATACCTCCAGGGAGTGCCTCACAACGCGAGCCCCTAGTTGGCTCACTACCTCATCCCTCGCTTGCCTCCTATCCACCTTCGGAAGAGTAGCATTCAAGAACCGCTTCGCTCCAATGATGTTGGTTGCATCGAATAAGCTCTTCTGGAACGAAGGGGGAGGGATGAGCTCCTTGCCTTTGCCAGGGCCTCGCACCTCAGCCTCCTCCCTCTCCCTGACTTCAAGATCAACTTCCAGAGGAGAAGGCCGAGGCACAAACTCCACCACCTCATCCCTCCTAGCTTCTAGCTTTGCCACCTTCCTCTTTTTCCTCTAGAGTGGCGCCACCTCCTCACTCGCCTCCTCACTGCTTCTCTTCATAGGTTCTGGCCTTGGTTACATCTCCAGATCTCAGGCAGAAGTGCTGGACAGCCGCTCCCTCTTTGCCACCCCCTTTTCTGCCACCCCCTTTTCTGCCACCCCTTTTTCTGCCACAGTTGAAGTCTTTGACTTCTTCCTTGACTTCTTCCTTGGCTTCTTTGGGATAGCCAGCCCCCCAGTAGCATTTAGAAAACCGTCCATCTCAGTTGCAAAACAAAAACAAGTGTTAAAACACAACAACTGAAAGTTCAAGTAAGTTGTAAAAAGTAAAGATAAACAAACTTTCGCTCAATGAGCTTGGCCCATAGAGCTCAGCAGCCTTTATCGCCTCTGCGCTGGTGAGGTACATGATATCTACTAACTCCCCTTCTTCCCTCACCAACTTCCCTACCTCTTCCACTTCATCCTCATTCAACTTATAATTGTTCTGCTTGGCTTTCTTAGCTTTCCAAGCAGACAATTGTTCTACTTCAACGTCGCTCCTACTCCACTTGATGTCATCTACAAAGAAAAATTTTTTTTTCCATCCTTTAATGGATGACGGTCCAACAGTGAATAAATTCCTATTCTCTTTGCTAGATGACCGAGGGCCGAAGTAGTACCACCCCTTCTCACCCTTACCCCCAGCCTTTATTATGAAAAAATGCTTAAACATATTTACAGTAAGGACCCCAACCCCCCAAGCTCGGCAGTATACTATGAAGCCTATTATCCCTCTTATAGCATTTGGGGTTAATTGGGTTATTCATATACTATAATCTAATAATAACCTAACTAGTAATTTTGGAATGGGGAACCTAAGCCCCGCAGCCAAATAATGGACATACATGGGCATCCAGTGGTCTCGGGGTGCTGAGCATGCTCTCTTATTCACCCCGGCTAGCCTAATTAAGACATAGTGAGAAAGGTCACAGTTATTTACTAACCCCCTAAAGCTATTCCTACTACTCAATTCACTAACATACCCCTTCACCTTAGACACTATATCTAATTTTGGGTCATAGCACCTATCTCCATTACCCTCAACCTCCATCACATTTGAGGGAATTTCTTCTTCCTCCTCTTCCACTATCCTCTGCTCCCTCCTTTCCTCCACGATCCTCTCCAAACTAGATGGAGACGGACTACTTTTCGAGTCCATGCCACCATACTCCAGGGACATCACCTCACTTCCTACTATACTCATTGTCCTTTCTGAAGACTCATTAATGTTGGTCAAACTCAAACATGTGCAGCAAATTAGCAAGCATAAGCTGCATGACTTAAAGCGCAAAGGTAATAACAGGGCACATTCTTCTCCCACTACCAAATGGGATCAATTCGAAATGTTGACCCCTAAAATCAACATTTTTATTTTTTTTAACAGAAAAAAGTAATATTTATTAAAAAACAGAATACAAGGGGTACCTCAAACTCATAAACATCGCAACTTGAAAAGTATAAATTTCCATAGTTGCATAGCCCTTCCTTTTGGTGTTGACATTAAAATTATGTGTCAACACCACGTCCGTGTTTGGATTCTGGATGCTTAGCCCTTCCATTTAGTGTCGATACCAAAATTATGTGTCGACACCACAATTGCGTTGGTTTCCATCCTCTTTTTGCAAATTCTTCATATCTCATTGTTTTGATCATCAAAAACTTCCCATTTGTCAAACCCACTACCACGCAAAACTCCTACCATGTAAAAAACATCTTCATATGGTATTATTGCAGACATCATATCATCAAGCAACACCAACACACAAGCCCTTTAATGTTAATCCCATCTTTCGGACCCTCCCTTCCTACCTTTTTCCCCCACAATTACTAGTAAGGCATGCAATAGGATTAATTAACCAGTCTGAAAGATTAAAGTAACACCTGGCTTTCCTAGCTTTAATCCATGCAACAGATTTCAACTGGGGAAGTTCTAGAAATTTACTTGTATTTACCTCCTGATTATGAAAAATCTTCCTGTTCCATGTGAGCCAAACAAACCAAACTATTGCACACCAGATGTAGTCCCATCCTTTTTTGATGCATTTGTCTCTTGTCCATGCTCCAAGTTGGTCAAATGTCTTCCAACAGTCATTCTCTATCCTTATATTGATCCCCCACCATGAGGCGCACTCCTTCCATACCCTTTAGTTATTCTGCATTTAAGAAACAGATGGTTTGCATCTTCAATCTCTTCCTCATAGAAATCACACTTTCCATCTCCCATGTCCATCCCTCTTTTCACTAGGTTGGATTTAGTGGGAATCTTGTCAAACAATAATTGCCAATTGAAAGCAGAGATTTTTGTTGGGATGAAGGGGTTCCATACTCTTTTAAATATTTGTGCTTCAGTTGGGTTCCTTTGCTCCTTTATCAAAAGTGAGTACGTAGTTGAGGTTGAATAATGTCTATCCTTGCTGTGGATCCACTCCCATTTATCAGGACAGCCAAGAGATAACCTCACTTCCTCAATCGTTCTACTAAGTTCCCTGACAGCCTCTTTTTCTCGTTTAAACAGATTCCTGCTCCATGTGAGGTTCCATTTCCATGTTCTATTGTGCATATTGCCCATTTGATAGCAATCTTTTTCCTTTCCTACAGACAATAAATACAATCTCGGGAATCTATTAGCAAGACAGCCTTCTCTGCACCACTCATCACACTAGAAGCTCACTCATTCCCCTCCCCTAACTTCAATCTAAAGCCCTCTGATAACCACCCTACATTCCCCCCCCTCCACATTATTAATACCTTGGATCTCTTTCCACCATAATGACGCAGCTCCCACTTTGTTTCTAACCCAATCCATCCAATTTGTCCCTCCTTCACCATATTTGGCTACTATAATTTTCTTCCACAAACCTTCCTCACATGTTGCTCATCGCCCCCACCATTTACCCATTAATGCCAAATTAAACTTCCTCAAGTCCCTCACTGTTAACCCACCATGCACTTTATTCTTACAAACCTTCTCCCATTTAACCCAATTAATTTTTTTCCCTTCTCCCTTCTCTCCCCATAAAAAACACCTGCAAATGTTATCAATGGATAAGAGGATACCTTTAGGAATTAGGAAGACAGACATCAACAACACGGGCAAGCTAGACAACACAGAGTTAACAAGCGTGATCCGACCTCCGAGAGATAAGTACCGACTTTTTCAACTTCTTTTTAATTGAGTCCAATAAAGGCTGCCACATTGCGAGCCTTTTATGGTTCCCCCCAATGGGGATCCCCAAGTATTTGAAAGGAAGTTCCCCTTCTTTGTAGCATAATCTATGTGCCATTTTACTTCCCCAACTGTCTTCAGCACCAATACACATAAGCTGGCTCTTTGCAAGATTAATTTTCAATCTAGACAGTAGTTCAAAGGTCCTCATTATGCTTTTGATCACCCATAAATTATCATATATCGCCTCCCTAAAAAATAATGTGTCATCCACAAATTGTAAGTGAGACACCGTCACAGCTTCATTACCCACTATCATACCCTTATATAAGCCCATCTTCATCGCAAAAGACACTAGTCCATTCAATCCCTCTACCATAATCAGGCATAAAGAGGGTGATAGTGGGTTGCCTTGGCGAATGCCCTTACTAACCAAAAATTGTCTTAAAGGGCTTCCGTTGACCACAATTGATACCATATTAGACTATAAGCACTCCTGAATCCACTTACTCCAATTATCGCAAAACCTCATCTTTAGCAGCATATAATCTAAGAATTCCCAGCTCACCTTGTCATATGCTTTTTTGAAGTCCATTTTGAACAGAAAGCTCTTCTTCTTTTTCCTTCTTGCCTCGTTAATCACTTCATTTGCAATCACCGCTTCATCCACCAAATGTCTACCCCTTATAAATGCCATCTGCTGTTCCTCGATAACCTTATTCAGCACTTTTTGAAGGCAGTTTGCTAACAGCTTTGTAATTATCTTGTGCATAACCCCAATAAGTGAAATGGGTCTATATTCTTCAATCCTTTGGGGGGTTTTCAACTTTAGGAATTAGAACTATAAAGGAAGCATTTGACCCTTTTACAAGCTTCCCATGTTCATGAAACTCCTTAATAAACTCGACGATCTCAGTTTTTATGTCTTCCCACATGCTTTTCATAAATTTGAAGTTGAACCCATCAGGTCCTAAAGATTTTGAAGATTTACAGTCCCAAATAGCATTTTTTATCTCCACTTCAGAAAATTAGGCCGTGAGGAATTCATTGTCAACCCTGTCAATTTGTTGGAAAGTGATGCCATCAAGTTTGGGTCTTTGCCACCCTTTTTCCATAAATAGGTCCTCAAAATAGCTAGCCACATTTTCTTTTATTTCAGCCACCCCTCTATGTTGTCTCCATTGATCTAGATAGTATTTATTTAATTTTTTCTCCATCTTCCCTTCACACCATTGTGGTAGAACTTGGTGTTTGCATTTCCTTCTTTTAACCACATCAACCTTGATTTTTGTTGCCACATGTTCTCTTTTAGTTTTAAGCTATCCCACAGATCCAGAAAACAGCTTCCCCTCTTTTCAATGTTCTCTGGTAACAAGTGACCATTCTCGCCTTTTTCATCTAGCAGAGCTATCATCTCTTCATCTTCAAGTATCTTTTTGTCCACATTTAACATTTGTTTTCCACTCCATTCTTTTAAAGCTAATTTTGTATTTTTCAGCTTCTCCTTAAGCCTCAATCCATTCCACCCCTCTACCACCGTTGATTTCCATACATTACAAATCATCTCCTTGCATCCACGTTGCTGTAGCCAAGCATCAAAGAATTTAAACGGTTTAGGCCCTCAATCCATCTTCTCATTCTTTAACAAAACAGGACAATGTCTGGCAAAGATCTTTTCAAACCCCACTACTTTACATCACACCATCTTACTAGCCAATCTTTAGATAATAAGAACCTGTCAATTCTACTCATATACTGGTCATTAGAATTATACCAGGTATATTTCCTACCAATCAAAGGTATATCAACCAATCCAGCATCTTTAATAAAGTAATCAAACTCCCTCATTTCTCTAGATATCCCCCTACATCTTGCTCGCTCCCTTGTACATCGAACAACATTAAAATCCCCTCATAAACACCAGTTGCCCTTCCTACTTGAAATCAGGTTCTATAGATTCTCCCAAAGGGCTCTTTCACTTGACAATTGACATGGAGAGTATATGTTAAGAATGAAAACAGGTATTGCCTCCTCTCCCCATGATCCAAATACCCCAATAAAATACTCCCCCTTTATCACCTCTTCCTTCTTAAATATTTTTGTACTCCACATACACAACAATCCTCCAGACAAGCCGTTTGATGGCTTAGTTACCTAGTCGAAATCCTCAGTCTCCCATACCCTTCTACACAGATTTCTATCAATAACTTCCATTTTGGTCTCTTGAATTGCTAAGAATTCCACCTTCTCCTTCTACACTGACTCCCTAATGTGTCTTTTTTTCCCAACCCCTCCTAACCCTCTAATATTAAAGGATAACATTATCATCGAGTTCGGTACATACCTTCTTCACACCTCCCGCTTTCGGCCTCACCATATTTGCTTTGGCTTGGCTGTCTCTCTTCTCCATATCCTTTATTCTTCGGATGACCTCCTCATCGGCCTCTGTTGTCGCACCTAATTGTTTTGCCAGCGCCCAAATCTCCTTAGCAAGCTAATTTTGCATCTGCTTCTTTATGGATATGTTACAATTCTGTATCCCACTATCATTAATCGAATCACCTGCAATTTCTCCATTGGGGCTCACAAGAAATTCTAGCACCATCCTCTTTTCTGATGAGTTTCTGCTCCATTTTCTTCGCCCCCTTTTCCTTCACACTACCTCACAGCTGGTTCTGTCTCTCATGTATACTGATCTACATGTGCTAATTTTTCTCCTCCTTATCTTTTAGTTTCCCATTTCCCGTCTCACCATCTAGTCCTCTAGATAGCCTTCATTGATCTCAAGATCTTTCCAAAGAGAATCCCTTGTTTCTTCATCGCTACTGACCATAGTTTTCTTCAATTTTCCAATTTTAGCCTTCATTGTATCATTGCATAGGCTTGTCCCCACAAAACTTTCTTGGGCCTGACCCATAATTATTGATTCCTCACCATCTGAACAGCCACCCTTATTGTTTGCTTTTTCAACTTGCTTCCTAATTATGTGTCCCACTAGGCCCAATTGGATCTCCTTTTCTGTATCGATACTTACACCTAGCTTCACATTCCCACTCCTCTGTGTTGCCTTCTCTGTCTCTTCTCTATGCTCTCCATCATTTACAATTTGAATTTGTTGTAGGCTATCAGGCATTGCTTCAACTGTCTTCTCACTTTCTTTTGAATCTTGTGAATGGATTTTACCGTTGCTTTCCTTCCTGCAACTTGCCACGTCATCTTCTTCTTTCTCTTCATCAATGGTTCTTCCTGTATCTTGCTTCCATCCTTCTGTGTCTTCGAATTCATGATCCTCTTTATCGCTAACAGTTGACCATGATTCATATTCTTCCTATTCGCTCTAGAATGCTAGTAGGAAATCCTGTTTCAAAGAGAAAAAGCTGTTGGTGAACTCCTCCATGAATCTGATGTTGTATATAGACCCATTAATCTTGATCTGGCGTGTAACTACTATTGTATCCATGATCAATGTGGATATCAAGAATGTTGCTATGTCGAACCTTTTTCTTGTGCTTGTACTATCATCCAAGCATATAAACTTCCCCTATGAGCTACCCATTGTTTCAAAGAAATATGGTCCCCAAACATTCAACAATGCTCTTTGGCACCTTACCCATACAAACCTTTTAGTAGCCATCTTATCTAGTGACCATGGCTGCACCTCTTTAAACCACTACCCTAACCAATCTGATGCCATCTCCACTAAATCCTTTAACTCCTCTTTGTCTTCACAGTCAAGCAGCACTAATTTACCCCCCATGGCTCAAATTCGACATGAAAAATAACCCTCCATGTAAAACTTCTCCTGCAGGTTCTTGACCATCTTAATAGAGTGAACTATACCCACATAGCTTCCCTCCAGCCATGCATATTCTTTAGGTTTCACCTTGTACTCCATGCCTGACCAATTCTCCCCTGTTCCTTTTTCTTGCCAAATTTTCCTATTTTGTTCCCCTCGTAATCCTTTCACCACATCGACGTAGGATCTGTTCTGTGTATTTGGCTTCACACCATGAGCGATTTTTGGCTCCATTTCTTGATATTTTCTTCGCTCCATATTCTTGTTCTGTATAGCATCATATCATGGCGTATTCACCCACAGCTTGCAGTCTCCGATCCATATTTGATCAAGTTTCTTTTCTAGCTCCTTTTTGTCTTCAACATTAAAAAATCTCACAAATCCGAACCTATTA